CGAGAAAAATTTCCGTTGGCGTTTTTTAGGGAGAGGCTTCATTTTCTCCAAACCGTTCGGTTGAGTAACGTCTTGAGTTTGTTTATTTATTTATTTTTGAAAACTCAACTAAACTAAATTCAAAATTATCATAAGGGCTGTTTGTACCAACAAGAGGTTGGATCAAGTGGTAAGCGGCTTGTTCCAGCTTAAGTAAAGTCTTGAGTTCGAGTCCTTGTGTATGCAGCAGCCTCCGTTGGGAGACTCACCCACAATTTCCAGATGTGCGACGCGGGTCGGGTCCGGATTAATCGAGGCGAAGCCTCGGATACCGAGCGGGAAACCAAAAAAAAAAATAAGGGCTGTTTGTTTCATATGTTAAACAACAGTTATTAGTTATGAGGGTTAATTAAATGGTTTAAATATTTTAAATTATAAATAATAACACTTATTAATGGTTGAATATCAAAGCAACCAATTCAAATAACCCCATAAATTGCTACCAACCATTTAGATTTTTTTTTTTTATCAACAACCACTTAGATTTTTTCCTTTTTGGTTTTCACAATTACGGTATCTTTAGACTAATTTATAAATATTTGGAGACTAATCTTTTATCAATTTAATTCAAAAGTAAGTTATTAATATTAAAACTAAAAATTTCAATGAAAGGTACTTCTCATTAACTTATGTAAAGAAATGAACCTTAGTACATAAAATTAAGAGCGCAAGTCTTATTATCAATTTGTCCAACCATTTACATTATAATTAAATTAAATAAATGATTTTTTTTTTATTAATATGTGTTTGAGACCAACGACTTACTAGTCAAAGTAAAAAAACTCGATTATTCTTAAATAAGATTTCGAATTTAATAAGTTTTATAAATGAAAAAATAGATGTTGGAAGAGAGTTTTCTTGTAAAGTCTGACGCAATTCAATTCTAGATTAATCGAGATTTAATGTGATTTTCAAATATCTAGAATTTTAGTAAAAAAATAAAAAGTGTTTGAGGGATAAGGATAGAGGATCAGACTTAGACATTTCATGATTTTAACCAATAAT